CAGACCGTGGGCAGGTGCCCCAGGGTACCGCACACTATTTTACAGGAGTTTTGAGAGGTCCACAGCGACACCTGCCGGACACCGTGCAAAACTGCTAGCTCAAGGTAGCTTGCAGTTTGAATGTTGGAGCTTCATTCCTTCAGAGGATGTGGTAACTCGGTAAAGCTGGGCTTATGGCAGTTCCAATAAAAAGCAAGTTATCATACGAAAATTATTGTGGAACAGGAAATGAGGGTGGTAATGCCCAGTCTAATTTCAAGGGTTGAGTTGTGTAGAGTCCAACAAGCTCTCATTCCATTAGTAGGTACTTAGGATTATTCAAGAAGGAACTAAAATAATATTTTTCTTTCAATTTATGTGTATTTTTCAAGTGGCCTCTAAGTTGTTAGGACATAAATATTTAAGAGTTGTTTTGGCCTAAATACTTACTAGCTGTTAGGTTTTACTGAGGGGATGTTGTTTGTTGTGCAGGTGGGAGTAGAAGGTGCCCTGAAAAAATTTCGGAGACACTGGGTGCCTTGAACCAAGAAAGTCTGGGGTCTCTGCATCATGCTTTTTACAAAAAGTTGTCTTAAGCCACCCTACCTCTGTTTTATAGATGAGTCAAGAAAGGCTAACTCACGTGCCTGAGCCCCCCCCCCGCCCCGGGGTGCGGCTGGGGGTGGTATGTGGGGACAATGACATTCAAACTAGGTCTGTGTCATTCTCTGGAAGGCAAACAGCTTCTCAATTTAGATTTGTCTCCTGATTGTAGGAAAGGGCAGCCTTTTTGGTTTGCGGAGGAACAGGGTCATGTTCCTGACGAGTCCCTTCTTATTCATCCCAGGGAGCCCCCTACTCAGGGGCCCCAGGACCGCAGCCTCTGTGCGTGGAAGCAGAAACTTTCCGGAGGCTCTGCCACTGCCTCCCCCCCCCCCCCCCGGAAAAACCCCCTTCATTCTGGGGCCCCCCCTCCCCCCCCCGGCGGGGGGGGGGCGCCCCGGTTAAAATCCAAAAGCCGGGGGGGGGGGGGGGGGGGGAGGATCCAGGCTCCGCCCCTGTCCCGCCCTCCGGTTCCCTCTTCTAGCTGTAAAGTCACCACGGGACCGTTGTAGGCGGCAGGCAGCCTCCTGCAGGGGATGGGTAGCAGGTAGAACAAGACCAGGAAGGGGCAGCCCCCAGCATCTTCCCTGTCCTTCAGCTTGGACTTGAGAATTCTGCCCCCAGCAGTGAGCTGCCTGCTCCCCAGGGCAACTTGCTTTGGAGGAAAAGCACTGGGGGAGAGGTGGGGTCCCACCTTCCCAATGGGGCAACTGCCAGCTTCATCCTGCAGAGGCCGACTATTGGCTCTGGGGGACTCTGAGCCAGTCATTTAACCCCTCTGTTTTCCCCCCTCTGCAGATGGGAATCGCAGTACCCGCTAGGTGGAGTTGTTCTGAGAATTTAGTACATTACTAAAGCTTATACTTCGAGCACGGCTAAGTATAACATGGTCTGTTTGCGGTGAAATTTAGCTGGCTATTCATTTTCAACAAATAATTATTGAGCACCTACTATGTATGTACGAGGCAATATTCTAACCACTGGGAATACAGCAGTGAACAAGGCCGAGGCAGGGGGCTTACAGTGTAGCAGAGGGAGACAGACCATAAATAAACACAACAGGTAAGTCAATTACAGACAAGGACCCACATATGTAACTTAAAATTTTCCAGGCGTACTGTTACAAAAGTAAAAAGAAACAGGTGAGATTAATTTTTCTAATTTTTAATTTAGAAAATTTTAAATTGTGTTCTAAAAACATGTTAACTCTCTCCCAATACATCCAAAATATTATCATTTCACCCGGAGGCATTACACCACATTTCAAGTACTCCGTAGCCACGTATTGTGGACCATGTTGGAAGGTGAAGGGAAGGGGCTCAGTCGGTTGCCGACTCTTGGTTTTGTCTCAGGTTATGATCTCCAGGTTGTGGGATCAAACCCTGGGTAGGGCTCCGCGCTCAGCAGGGAGTCCGCTTAAGATTCTTTCCCTCTGCACACCCCCCAAAATAAATAAATAAGTCTAAAAAAAAGAAAGGTGATTGGAACAATAAAGACATAATTCAGGGAAAGGGGGACAGGAGCCTCAGGTAAGGGGGGTGGACAACAGACAGGGAAAGCGAATTTGCTCTGACAGAGCCCGGTTACCACAGTTAAGCAGTTCTCCTTGCTCTGTGCTGGCCTGGCCTGGCTCCTCGGGGAGGGTTTTATGGCCAAGGGCATGTTTTCCTCTCCTCCGCTGCCAAGCATGACCCTTCTGCAGAGCCCTGAGATGCAGGCCTCCCGGAAATGCTGCAGCCCTGGGGGGCAGCCCCTCACCACCACCTTGCTCACTCCAGGAAATGGTGAGCACTCTGTCTTCTGGGAGCTGAGGGCCAGCACAGGGGACAAACTTCAGGAATTTTGTCAAGGATCTGACTGGAACCGGGAAAGAGGCGTGGAGGGGTTGTGGGGGGTTGGAGGTGTGAGGGAGGAGTTCTTGCCCAGGGCTGGGATTAGAGGGGAGGTGAGTGAGGGTTGCAGCCTGTCTTTATTTAAAATTGTGGTATTTTACGAAATCTTGCCATTTGCAATGGTGTGGATGGAACTAGAAGGTATTATGCTAAGCAAAATAAGTCAATCGGAGAAAGACAATTATCATATGATCTTGCTGATATGTGGAATTTGAGAAAAAAGGCAGAGGATCATAGGGGAAGAGAGGAAAAAATGAAACAAGACGAAACCAGAGAGGAAGACAAACCATAAGAGACTCTTAATCTCAGGAAACAAACTGAGGGTTGCTGGAGGGGAGGGGGGTGGGGGATGGGGTGGCTGGGTGATGGACATTGGGGAGGATATATGTTGTGATGAGCGCTGTGAACTGTGTAAGACTGATGAATCACAGACCTGTACCCCTGAAACAAATAATACATTATATGTTAATTAAAAGTCAATTTCTCCTAAAATTACTGGGACTGTATACATATATCAGATTATCACATTGTACACTTTAAATATATTACAATTTTATCTGTCAATTATACCTCAATAAAGCCAAAGTTATGTTAAAAAAAATAAAATTGTGGTATTTTAGGGGTGCCTGGCTGACTCAGTTGGTGGAGCGTGGGACTCTTGATCTCAGGGTGTTGGGAGTTCAAGCCCCATGTTAGGTGTAGAGCTTACTTAAAAAAAATAGGGGCGCCTGGGTGGCTCAGTCGTTAGCGTCTGCAAAATAGGGGCACCTGGGTGTCCCAGTCGTTAAGCGTCTGCCTTCGGCTCAGGTCATGGTCCCAGGGTCCTGGGATTGAGCCCCACATCGGACTCCCTGCTCCACGGGAAGCCTGCTTCTCCCTCTCCCACTCCCCCTGCTTGTGTTCCTGCTCTTGCTGTGTCTCTCTGTCAAATAAATAAATAAAATCTTTTAAAAATAAATAAAATTGTAGTATTTTGTTTATCACAGATATTTTTGCCTGAACTTAAAAAAAATATTATATTGACTCTTGTATCATAAAATTCACCCTTTTTAAAGTGCTCAATTCAGCGGTTTTTAGTATTTTCAGAGTTGTGTGACATCACCTAGTCAATTTTAGAGCGTTTTCATCATCTTGAAAGAAATCCCTATACCCATTAAGCAGTCCCTCCCCCTCAACGCCCCACCCTCCCCCCACAACCACTTACCTACTTTCTGTCTGTATGGATTTGCCTCTTCTGGACATTTCCTATAAATGGAATCATGTGTAGCCTTTTGTGACTGGGCTTCTTGCACTTTGCACAATACCTTCAAGAGTCACTTATGCTGTAGCAAGCGCCTGCATTTCCTTTTTTACGGCCAAACAACATACCACTACATGGTTACACTACGTTTACTTATCCACTTGTCCGTTGATAGGTATTTATGTTTTCTCCCCCTTTGGTTGTTGTGAATAATGCTGCTATGAACATTCATGAGCGGGCTTTTGTGTGCACATGTTTTTAATTCTTTTGGGGTTTGCATTAATTTTTTTTAAATTTATTTATTTGAGAGAGTGAGAATGAGAGAGAGAGAGAGAGAGAGAGAGAGCACATGAGAGGGGGAAGGGTCAGAGGGAGAAGCAGGCTCCACGCCGAGCAGGGAGCCAGATGTGGGACTCGATCCCGGGACTCCAGGATCATGGCCTGAGCCGAAGGCAGTCGCTTAACCAACTGAGCCACCCAGGCGCCCAATTTTGGTTTTTAACATATTGTATAAAGATACAGTTTTTCTCGATTACTGAGTTTTTTGATGCCCCCTTAAAATTTATACGTGAGCCAAGAGCCTGCCTGGCCACATTTAAAGTCTGGTCCCTTGCTAGCTGTGTCGCTTTGGGCAAGTTGTTTAACCTCTCAGAGCTTTTGGATTTCTGGTCTGTAACATGGGGATAATCCCTGTACCTACACATTTTACAGACCGGCACGCAGTAGGCTTAAGTCAATGTGTCTTTCCTACGGGGAGGCCTGGTGTAGGGCCACACACCCAAAATGGATGTGACCTAGCCCTGACCTTCCGGAGAGCGGGCCCACCTGCCTAGAACCCCTTCCTGCTTTATTTCCCAAGGGAAACCTGCTCTTTTTCTCTCTCCTGTCTCAGCCTGAGCCCCCTACAAAGTCCTCAGGGGCGGGACCCAAAGCTGTTCACCAAAAGGCCTCCGTGGCCCCCCAGCCCCTTCCATTCTGGCTGCCTTCCCCCTCCCCTGCCTACCCCACCCTCCCCTCTGCCCATTCCTGTTGAAGGCCTCAGCTCCCCTGTGCCTCTGCACTGCCGTGAGGCCTGCACTTTGCAGGGCTGAAGTCCAAAGTTCAGTCCCTTCGCTAAGCACACGGATAAATATGAACCTTGGAGAATTTCCCCAGCTCCAATGTAAACAGAGCGGGCAGGGGCCCTGATTCACTGGCCGCTGGGGCCAGTGTTGGGGGTTGGGGGTGCCCACAGGGCTTGGTTCGTGGGGTTTGGGGGGGCAGTAGGTGCAAGGATCCTGGTTTGTGCCTGCCTGCTGGTCGGCCAGCAAGTAGACAGCCCACTCGGTGGGGGAGGCGGCCGTTTTGGTGGCCCCAGGCCGCGTGGCCCAGTGGTAGCAGAGCCATGGTTTCTAAACTGAGCCAGCTGCAGACGGAGCTCCTGGCCGCCCTGCTCGAGTCGGGCCTGAGCAAAGAGGCACTGATCCAGGCACTGGGTGAGCCGGGGCCCTACCTGCTGGCTGCCGATGGCCCCCGGGACAAGGGGGAGTCCTGTGGCGGCGGTCGGGGCGAGTTGGCTGAGCTGCCCAACGGGCTGGGGGAGGCCAGGGGCTCCGAGGACGAGACGGACGACGATGGGGAAGACTTCACGCCGCCCATCCTCAAAGAGCTGGAGAACCTCAGCCCCGAGGAGGCGGCCCACCAGAAAGCCGTGGTGGAGACCTTGCTGCAGTAAGGACCCCCCCTACCCCCGTCCCCAGCATCTAAGGAGCCCAGGGAGGCCCACCCTCAGCTCCTGACTAGCCCTTCCGAGTCCAGAGTTCCCTGAGCTGTAGGTAGCTTTTAGCCTGGCTGTCGGGAAGGGGGACAGGCCCCACGCGAGCTCTGGGGCGACCTTGCTCCCAGGCTGGAGCCTCCCAGCCCCTGACCTGGCCCTCTGCAAAGTCCCGAGTCCCCATGAGCGAAGGCTTTCAGCCCAGGGCTTGGGAAGTAAGGGCACGCCCCAGGGGGGCTCTGAGATGGGGGGAAAGCAGGCACATCCATAATTCATGTGCCTGGAGAACCAGAGGGTGGTGGGACTTGTTAGCCTCCACGGCCCCTTCTACTCCCCAGACCCTAACCTCCCTGGCTAAGCATTCAGATTTCAGGCTCCGGGGCCAGGAAGCACGTTTAGTGAGAGGGGAGCCGAGGCTGGGGTTTTAGGGGCTCCCTCAGCCACCCAGGGACTCAAGCATTAAGCCAGGAAAGCCCAGGTCTTACCTGAGGGAGATGGAGCCTCGGGGCAGGACCTGCTCCCCTTTCCTGCACAGCCTTAGCTGCCCCCCACCTCACCGGCAGGCACCATGAGAGGTCTCCCCATTTACACCCCCATTGACTGGTTGGCTCCCCAACTCCCAGAGAACTGGGTGGGTCTAAGCCCGATGCCTCCCCTCTCCTCAGCAGAGCTGACCTGGTTACTAATTACCCATGAGCTTTATTATTTCTCTTTTGTTTTATAAATTTATAAACGGTAAAAGGCTCTGATAAGGCCTGTGATCATTAACTTGTAAAGATGGCGGCCTGGGGAGGCCTGGGCCAACCAACCTCCTACCCAGCAAGGGCGGGGGGGAAAGGGGTCTAGGCGTTGCAGGGACTGCCCTCCCCAAAGGCTCCTAAGCTCCAAACCTAACAGGCCCTTTGCTGAGGTTTCACGTGCATACGGTCTGATAATGTCAAGATGAATGCTGGAAAGAAGCTAGGAATAACTCTGCTTCACAGATAAGGAAACTGAGGCCCAGAGAGGGGAAATAGCTTGACTAAGGCCACCCAGCGGGGACTCCACAGCCACTCTGTCTGGTGCTCTCCATTGCCATGACTGGGCAGTGGGAGGAAGAGCCCCAAAGAAGCTCTCTATGGAACCATCTCTTTTCTGTCCAAGGTCCTGATCCAGGCTTGGGGTGGGGGGAGCCCTCAGGGTCTGCCTGGCCTTGAGAGGGCCTGGGCAGGGGGCAGGGGAGCAGCCAGGGCCCCCTGACATGGCAGGAAGAAGAGGGCAAAGGGCCCTGCTGTGCTGCAGGGGAGGGGCAAAGAGTCAGGCCTTGCCAGACCCAGGGCGAAGCCACTGGGACAGGGTGGGGCTGGGCCAGACCTGCTCCGGGCCCCAGATGGGACTGGGGACTTTCGGGTGGGAGTGGGGGCAGGGGGTGCCAAGGGCCTTTCTTACCTGGCTGGGTGGGGCCTCTGGATCAGCAGCCCCTTTGGTGGAATGGTGGGTGGGGGGGAGGCTTCATCCACAGCACTTGAGCGGGGAGCAGAGGTCAAAGTGCTCCCTGGGGACCAGCAGAGACCTGGAAGTTGAGGGAGAGCGAAGAACCGGAGGAAGAGAGAAAGAGGGCGTGGGGGGCGATGGAGAGGCCTGGATAAGCACAGGAGAGCAGGAGAGCCGGGAGGGCAGAGGGGCTGCCACCCAGCTGGGAGAAGGGGCTGCGGAGAGAGTGAGACACCCCAAGCTGCAGAGAAGGCTGGAGTGCTTCCCGCCTGCCCCGATTGGGTTTTCTTTAATGCTAACAGCATGCTATTTACTTTCCATTTAAATTTGAGATGTTGCTATAAATTATCAACCAGCTCCTTGTTCCTGTGGAGTTTATAACTAACTACCTGGGTTACTTATTGTTCAGGTAACAAAAGGGATCTGAAAACGCCCGGAGGGGGGGAAAAAAAGAGGGGCCTCTACCCTCAGGGCACAGGAGGGAGTGGGGTGGGCACCCTGATGAAGGCCTGGACGGCCCAGGGTTGGGGAGGTTAAGGTTGGAAAGGATGATGCAGAGGCAGGGTTTCCGTGGACGCCATTTCTTTGGAGAAGACAGTGTGGGAAGAGGCAGGGTGGGTCCTGGGCGCTGTCCCCCTCCCCGGGGTGCCTCGTGCCTGAGGCCACAGCAGGAAGCTGAGCTCTTCCCCCAGACCTCCCACCCTTAGTTCACTGTGTGACCTTGGGCAAGTCTCGTCTCCTGCCTCAGTTTCCCTAGCTGGCCAACGCATAAAACTCAAATTCCCTGCCCTGGTTCCCTGACCTCTTCTTGAGGGACCTCTGTCCCTCACTCACTTTCCTCCAGTTATACTGAATTTGCTGATTCCCACTTCAGGGCCTTTGCATGTACTGCTCCTTCTGCCTGGATACTTCTTTCTAGATCTTCCCGTGACCCATTCCCTCTCCTCCTTTTGCTCAAATGTCACCTCCTCAGGGAGGCCCTCCCTCACTGCCCCCATCTAAATGAAGTTCCTCCCAGAGTCACTCTCTTCCACTACCTTCTGTTACTTTCTCTTGTCTCTTAACTTACGATTGTCTGTTTTTGTCTGTTTTCTATCGCCTGCCATGAAAACAGAAGCTTTTCAAAGGGAAGGCCAGCGTGGCCTTGTTCACTACTCGTATCCCTGATATCCAGCCCAGTGGCTCAAAGACAGCACGAATGAATGAGTGGCTAGGGTTCCTGAGACATGCTGTTACGGCCAAGGGAGGAACCTGTACCCAAGGTTCCTTCCTGGGTGTCCTCCTGGGTCCTCTCTGTCCCCGAGCAGCTCAAACCTCAACCTGAGGGTCTCTGATGCTCTCCGTCAGGCAGCACCAGGGCATTGAGACCCAGGAAGACAGTGGGCAAAGTGGGACAGTCTAACATCCCCGACCGAGGCCAACCTGCCTGGGTTCAAATCCCAACTCAGCCCCACCCTAATTCCCGCAGGTGATTTCATGTCTCTGAGCCCTGGTTTTGCCAGCAAGGCAGAGATGATGATAACATTTACCCACAGGGTTAAATAGCTTGTAAGTGCAGTAAACCGTTGCTACGAGTAATAGTCCCACTTTACAGATAAGCAAACTAAGGCTCAGAGAGGCAAAGTGACTTGCCCAAGGCAATTTACAAAGTAGTAAGGCTGGGACTTGGACCCAGGTCCTCCTAATCCCATACTCTGCACAGCATCCTTGAGGCTGCGTGCTGTCCTCGATCTGTTTATTTCCCTTTTTATCCTCCCGAGTCATTCTTGCTGTTAACCTCACATGTACTCACTTCCATGCGGTGCTCTAAGAGCTCATGGGACCGCTTACAAATGCATTAAACTCGTTTTCTCCTCCTGACAGCCTATGAAACATTTTAGCCCTGTATTACAGTTGGGGAAACTGAGGCACACGGAGGTTAAGCGATTGCCCAGGGCCACCTGGATAGTGAGTGGTAGAGCTGGGATTCAACCTGGGAAGGGAAGCTTCTCCGCCCCACCCCACCCACCATGCACTGAGAATTCCACTCCCCCTCCAGATGTGCGGCCCTTCCGGTTGGTCTCTGAGCTCCATAGCCTTGGACCCTCTGAAACCCCAGGGGCCAGTGAGCCAAAGGCCCAAAGTCTTAAACCTCTGACCCACCCCTCCCAGAACCCGTAGGAAGTAGGAGGAGATGTGGGCACCTCTCCTGGGCCCTGTTCCCTCTGCTGCAGGGCTGGGGGTCCCATGGCCACATCATCCATGATGATGATGATGATGATGGTGACAAATTGTTGTACTTACTGAGCACTTACCATGTACCAGGTTCACTCCTATTTGAAAGTCAGTCCTCCCAGGGGCCCTGCGAGGCAGGCGTGGGCTTACTGCCGTGGTACGGAAGGGCGTGGGGCATGCACATGGGAGGTGCTAGGGCGCCATTTTGGGATGTGAACCCAGGTTGGCTTGACTCTTAAACCCATTACAAGGAAAGCAGGAGATATCTGGAGACGTGGCCTGCTGGTTCTGGGTTGGGGAAACTGTCCTGGAAAGAGTCAGGTCCCTGGAGACTGAGGGTGAGTGAGTGAGTGAGTGTGGTAGGGAGTGGGTGGGAGAAAGAGGGCGAACAACAGAGACACACAGACAGGAGAGACAGAGAAAGAGAGGGAGAGAGCCAGGCAGAGAAAAACCAAGACACACACAGAGAGAAAGACACATGGAGTCAAAGGGACAGTGACAGGACAGTGAATCTTCAGTTTGAGCCAAGGAGGCCCAGCTGAGAGGAAGACTGAGCTCATTCTCTCCCTCCAGGGAAGGGAGAAGGGAGGGAAGGAGGGAGGGCTGCCCAGGAAGGTGATGCCTGCAGCTGGGGGAGGAGGGAGGCCATCAGGCAGCCCGGCTCCAGAATCAGATAAACATGTTTGCCACGAAGCACAAGGCTGGACTTTGTACTGCCCTTCCCTCCAGGCTCTGACTGGCACCTGGGGAGCAGGGGAGGGTTGGAGGAGGAGCCTAGGAGCCCCTCGATGCAGGGAGGAAGCAGAGCTTGCTTGGGGAGGGCTCTGGGGGATCCGGGCAAAGCGATGTATTCTGGAGTCCCAGCTAGGTCCCTTTGGACAAGTGCTCACCTTTCTGAGGCTCAGTTTTCCCATCTGTGAAATGGGCATATGAGTAGCCCCTACTTCCTAGGGTTATGGTTAAGATTTACATGACCAGCCCTTAGCACAGTGCCCGGTTCATGGTAAATACTCAAGAAACATGAATTCTCACATCCAGCATTTTTACACAACTGGGATCTTGCCGTACCGACTGCTGACCAATTCAAATTGGAACTCTCCCCGCCTCCCTTTCCTCCCTATGCGTATGGGAACTGCTGGTAAAAAGGAGGGAGTCACGGGGCCCAAGCTGCTGAAATGCTCTGTGCCTTCACACCCTAGAAGGGCACTGTCAAGGAGGGCAAGGCCAGGCTGGCTCTTTGGGAAGGAGAGAAGGGGAGATGGCAGTACGGGGTAGGCTTCAAAGTGCTGGGGGCTTCTTTGCTTTTTGGTTTTCTTCGCGGTTGAGTTTTCAATGTTCTGTAGGCATGTATAGCATATTATCTAACATTGTATTACATTATTTGAAGAGCACAGAGAAGTGACAGAAGACACGGTCCCTCCCCCCGCCCCGTCCCCAGCACCCCAATCCCGTCTTGAGACAACCGATGTTGCTCGTCTCCTCTGTGTTCTGGTATTTCATGCAAACACAAGCAAATACACAGGACTCTTTTGTGCCATTTCAGATTTTACACAAACAACACAGCAGACCCACCAGACTGTTCCGGGTGGGTACGGGCAGAGCTGCCTCAGTGCGTGTTTACGGCTGCGTCTATTCGAGGCACCACCAACCGCACCCTTCTGCCCGACACTCAGGTTGTTTCTGATATTTTGCTGCGGCAAGCAACACGGCGACCAGCTGCCTCCTGCACATGCCCCTTGTCACACGTGCAAATGTTGGAAAGCTCAAATTCTTAGAAGCAAATTGCTCAAAGGGGTGAGGACCTCAGGCTTTGGAACCACCCGAGCTGGGTTCAAACGCCAGCTCGGCCTGTTTTCAGCACTGTTGTATGGAGCTGCTTTTATCTGCCACCGTATTTGTAGTACAAGCTCAGGAGAGGACCAGAGCAGGAGAGGGTTGAGACAGAGCAGGAGAGGGAGAGAATTGTGTGGTACAGGCCGTCAGACCCCCCCGGCCCCCAAAAGTGAGCAGAGGATGGGAACATGAATCATAGATGGCTGCAGGTCCCTTGAGTCTCTCCAGTGAGAGTCTCAGCCCACAGGGTGCGATTTGGGGGCACACACACACACACACACACTTTTTGTACGAAGCCTCTGAATACCAGCCCGTAACTCCTTCACCTGGACCTGCCTGCCCCCATGCTGTAGGGAAACTGGCCAGGCCACAGCCAGGGTTTAGTGTAATTATCAGGTGTTTTGATTCTATGTGACTTTTACCCGATAGGTTGACTTAGAATGGAATCCCTTCAGGGACGGGACTCTGCTGGGCTGGCTCTGTGACCTTGGATGGAAGATGCGACACAAGCACTCTTAGCCTCAGTGGCCCTGGCTGTAAAGTGAGAGAATCCTGTTTCTCTCCTTGTTTTCAGACCCATTTTTTCCCCAGTAGGTCTCCTTCATCCATCCATCCATCCACCCACCCATACCCCTATTCGCCTATCCATCTACCCTCCCACCCATTCACCCAACCACCCACCCACCCATCCATCCACCATCTATTTACCCACCCATCTCCCCATCCCTCTATCAACCCACCTTCCCATCCATTCATCCACCCACCGATCCACCATCCCATCCACCCACCTATATATTCCCCTACCCACCTACCCCTCCCATCCATTCATCCATCCACCCATCCACTCATTCACTCACGCGTTCACCATGGACATACATTACGTCGGGCCTATTCTGGGTGCTGAGAACCTGACAGTTCCTGCCCTTACAGTGTTTACATAGTCTCTCACAGCGGGTAAGACATAGCCACAAATAACATTTCCAGGTAGGATGCGGGGAGGATCTTTGAAGGAGGCACAAAGGTGAGGACCTTCGCTACCTGGCTTCTAGGGCTGCCGGTGGGAGTCCGTTCATGTCTTCATGTCTGTCCATATGTCCCGGCACGAGTGCCTTTACCTTGCTGTCCTGGAGTCTGAGTGTAGGTCCTGGGCTCCACACCCGCTTCCACCCACAATCCCCACTCTCAGGGCTGACAGGACCCCCAGCCCTGCCTGCACCCCCCTGCACTCCCCGTGCTGAGCAGGCTCTGTCCTTTGCCCCCCTCCTAGGGAGGACCCATGGCGTGTGGCGAAGATGGTCAAGTCCTACCTGCAGCAGCACAACATCCCACAGAGGGAGGTAGTCGACACGACTGGCCTCAACCAGTCGCACCTGTCCCAGCACCTCAACAAGGGCACCCCCATGAAGACACAGAAGCGAGCCGCCCTGTACACCTGGTACGTCCGCAAGCAGCGAGAGGTGGCCCAGCGTAAGTAATGAGCACAGCCCCATCCTCCTGGCAGGGCCCTGGAACTCTCTGCGGCTCGGGGGTGGGGGTGGGAAGCTTCTCCCATGTTGCCGGGACAGGTTGCCTGAGAGGAAGTGAGCAGGATTCAATGGGCACATGTTTCCTGTTCTGCACAAGGCACTCTGGGGGAGGGGAGGAGGCTGGTCCTGGGCATCTGGAGATGGATGAATTGGGTCCTTGCCTTCTAGGAGCTCTGGGTAGGAGAGCAGATCATTATGCTGCAGCGAGACATGTATTATAATACAATAAAAACAACAGTAACAGCTACTGTTTATGGAGCGCCCAGGGCAGCGTAGTACCATGTCAAATATTTCAAAATATTAAGCTGGCAGAGGACCAGAGAGTAATCTATTCTTCCACAGGGAGGCAAGGGCATCAGGAAGGACCACACCAGAAGGCGAACTTTCAGACTAAGTCTTAAAGTCTGAGTGGAATTTTGGCTCATGGAGACAACAGGGAAGGGTGTTTTGGGCAGAGGGAGTGGCCTGAGTAAAGGCTCAGAGGCAAGGTGTATGCTCAGGGAATCCTTCACTGAAAACCCTGGGAGAGCTGGCCACACTATTGTTCAGGGAATGGTGGGTTTCCTTACTCAGACCTCACACCCCACAAAATCCCAAGTGCACTCTCACTTTTTAGCCTATGTGTAAAAAGAAAAATTTTTTTTAAAGATTTTATTTGTTTGTGAGAAAGAGAGAGTGCGTGCACAAGCAGGGGGGAGTGGAAGGAGGAGACTCCCCGCTGAGCAAGGAGCCTGATGCAGGACTCAACCCAGGACCAGGGGATCATGACCTGAGCTGAAGGCAGACCCTTGACCCACTGAGCCACCCAGGTGTCCCTAAAAATTTTTTTAAAATTTCTTTTATTAATTATCTTTTTAAAAAAGGTACTACATACTAGTTTAAAAAAATAGTGGAAAATAAAGAGTTTACAATAGAAATTAGGTGTCCTCCCTAATGGACATTCCTAGTCTCATGCATCCTTCCAGAGATATTGTATGCAAATACAATATATAATATATATATATTTTCCTCTATTCTTTGAAGGGCTGCTGGCTGTTCTGTTATTTGGAGGTACCATTATTTGGTTAACTGGTTCCCTACCAAAGGACTTTTAGGGTTTTTCTAATGTGCTGTTAGAACCAACTGCTTCAAAGAACATCCTTCTTTGTATATGTGCTCACACGAGACTATGTCTGTAAAGTAATTCCTGGAAGTGGAATTCTGGGTCAGAGTAGGTACTTTAAAATCTTTGATAGATATTCCTGTAGCTCCTTACGAAGACATGGTGACAATTTGCAAGTCTGGTAATTAAAAAAAATAAACTTTTTTCCCCATGCTTCCTAAAAATATATTAAAATGTTAAAGTCCTCAAATTCACATATTGATTTGCTCACTCATTTAATATTTACTTATCTATTTTTACAAGCTGAAAAGTTGTTTTTTCAAGCTGGAAAGTTTATTAAGGTGAAAAGTTTATTCAAGTGAAAAGTACACTCTTGAGATATGAGAGCAGGTGAGCTTGAGAGAGCAAGCTACACCTCATTTAATATTTATGTATTGATTTATTTTTTAAGATTTTATTTATTTGACAGAGAGAGAGACAGCAAGAGAAGGAACACAAGCAGGGGGGAGTGGGAGAGGGAGCAGCAGGCTTCCCGTGGAGCAGGGAGCTCGATGCGGGACTTGGTCCCAGGACCCCGAGATCATGACCTGAGCCGAAGGCAGACGCTCAACGACTGAGCCACCCAGGTTTTATTTTTAAGTCATCTCCACACCCAAGGTGGGGCTCGAACTTACAACCCTGAGCAAGAGTCACATGTTCCACTGACTGGGCCAGCCAAGCCCCCCGCCTCATTTTATATTTATTGAACATCTACTATTTACCATTTTTTCTTGAACACAAAAAAGCAACTTTTAAAAGCTGTGATGATCACTTATATTATAACTTATTTTTTTAAAAACTGTGACATTGGTAGGGGCACCTGGGTGGTTCAGGCAGTTATGCACCTGACTCTTGATTTTGGCTCAGGTCATGATCTCGGGGTCATGAGATCCAGCCCCACCTCAGGCTCTGTGATGGGCATGGAACCTGATTAACATTCTCTCTCTCTCTCTCTCTGTCTAGCCCCCCAAAACTATGATACTGCCCTTATCAAGGGGCTGATTAAAACATTAAGTTAATTGGATTGCCTGGGTGGCTGTCGGTTGAGTGTCCAACTCACGTTTTCCGCTCAGGTCCTGATCTCAGGGTCCTGGGATCGAGCCTCGCATTGGGCTCTGTGGTCGGCGTGGAGTCGGCTTGAGATTCCCTCTGCCCCTTCCCCTGCTTGTGCACACTCTCTCCCCCTCTCTCTAAAATAAATAAATGAATAAAATCTTAAAAAAAAACCCCACCAAAAAACCCCATTAGGTTAATTAAAATTTACCGAGTGATCACTATGGTTAAGTGTTAATATTTTCTTACAAGGATGATCACTGATCGCTTATTCGTGCAGAAATAGCAACACATACCGATGCCCAAGGAGCCAGTGCCCCCGCCACTTGTACCCGACAGGGGCATCCTTCGGGTCTCAGGTGGCTGGGACTGTGTAAGACATACTTTGAAGGCACTATCACTAAGTGTTTTTAGAAAACTAGCATGTCTTTAATTTACCCTTCTTAGCAGGTAAAACTTAAATAACACATAATAAGCTCTTAATTTTAGAGTAAGTGTAGACTTTTGGAACTTCTGGGCAGGTAGTACAGAGAAATCCAGTTTACCCCAGACCCAGTTTTCCCTACTATTTACACGAGTATGGGACTATTTGTCACAATTAACGAACCAACACTGTCACACGATTATTAAGTCCGTACTTACTTTATTATTCAGATGTCCTCAGTTTTTCCCTAATGTCCTTTTTCTGGTCCAAGATCCCATCCAGGTGTGGACATACTGCATTTCGTTGTCATGTCGCCTTAGGTGTCTCTGGCTTGTGACAGTCTCTCAGATTTTCCTTGTTTTTGACAGCCTTGACAGGATAAAATTTTTTTTTTTTTTTTTTTTTTTTTAAAGCTGAAATGTTTTCGTTTTCTGGGCCAAGTCACAGTGTCTGGTACTCCAGATCTTGGTCCAGCCTGCTGCCAGGTGAGATGGCCAACTGAGTCAGTGTGAGTGGCCACCGGTGCCTCAGCTGCTGAGAATGTTGGAATCTGAGTCAAGCAGGCTTGTAGGGTTGGCTTTTGGTGGATCTAAGCCCGCGTCTCCCCAGAACACTGGTGCTGGCTTCTGCCTCTTGGCACTTGGGTGGTGAAGGCACAGAATTTGCACTATCTCTAACTCACTCTCCCTGCCTCCCCTCCCGTAAAGATGGCTTTGCATTTATCTGTTCTAGTCTCTTGGTTGCTTGCTCAGGGAGAATCTAAGAGTTTCCATTAAAGTGGAACTAGCTGACAAGGGCTGGCTGGGTCTCTCCTCTCCTGGCTAACGCCTGCATTTTAAGTGTGATTTACAGGTCTGCAAAGTTTAAAATAGCTCTGAATCTACTCAAGAGATGTGGCTCGAGTTTCTGTTCTATTGTGCAGCCCTGGAAAGATATTCAGCCTCTCTGAGCCTCAGCTTCTTCATCTGTAAAATAAGATAGCAAATGTGTTAAATCTGAACGAATGCTAATGCTTTCCTGGAGCCTTATATTGAGAAGGATTATGAGCTTCCATCTTGGCGCACTAAGAAAACCGTGCAGGGGCTGATTAGCGATGTCTGCCTGGGGCACAGGTTAAGACAGGGGTGGTACGTGTGCTGTGTGTCTGTCATCACTGGATTAGATGATTTCTAAGTTCTAGCTGTAAGCTCCTCCTGGCTCAACAGCTTGGGACTGGGAAAGAATCAGGAGCATGGTCAGATGAACGGAAGTGGGAAGGTGGGAGTGGCCAGTGCCCCGCTTACGGCTCTCTGTGTGTGCCTACAGAGTTCACCCACGCAGGGCAGGGCGGGCTGATTGAAGAGCCCACAGGTGATGAGCTGCCAACCAAGAAGGGGCGGAGGAACCGTTTCAAGTGGGGCCCAGCCTCCCAGCAGATCCTGTTCCAGGCGTACGAGAGGCAGAAGAACCCCAGCAAGGAGGAGCGAGAGGCACTGGTGGAGGAGTGCAACAGGTACGATGAGGGGTGGGTCAGCAGGGCTGGTTTGGTCTGGGCCGGGGCAAGGCTGGGGGACGGTGGCTCTGGGTTCTGAGGGAGGCTCCCCAGTCCTTGAGTGCTCCTGCTGTTGGCCCAGGAGCACTCAAATCCTGCTCAGCATCTGGAACCTAGCTCCATTCCTAGCACCCACTCCCCACCCATCCAGGCAATCCTCGAGTGGCTGCTCATCCCATTCACCCTCATTACGACCCTATGGCTATTTTGCCCACTTTATGAATGGAGAGGCTAAGAGAGGTTAAGACACTGGCTCAAGGTCACACAGCAGCACTGGGATTGGAACCCAGATCTGCCAGCTTTACACACTATGGGAGAAGCCTACCTCTCAGAACTCTCTCCCCTACCTCCAGCCCGGGGAGAGGGTTCCTTTGAGCCTGGCCTGGAGGCTCACGAGTGGCCATTTCTGCAGGGCAGAGTGCATCCAGAGGGGCGTGTCGCCGTCGCAGGCACAGGGACTGGGCTCTAACCTCGTCACGGAGGTGCGTGTCTACAACTGGTTTGCCAATCGGCGCAAGGAAGAAGCTTTCCGTCACAAGCTGGCCATGGACACATACAGCGGGCCGCCCCCGGGGCCAGGCCCGGGCCCCGCCCTGCCTGCCCACAGCTCCCCGGGCTTGCCCCCACCCACCCTCTCCCCCAGTAAGGTCCATGGTGAGTGCTATGTGGCGGGGGTTTGACATAGTGGGTAGAGGGGGCAAGAGAGTAGGCTGGAGAGCTGGGGAGCACCACGCCAGTGGCAGTAACTACCCAAACCTCTTGGCACTTCAGCTTGGTTCCTTATCACTCCCCTCTACTCATTACCCTCCTCGATCCAGCCCTCTCCTCTCCACCCCAGTGACCACGCCATGCCATTCAATCCAGCCTAACTTGACTCAGGTCACTTCCATTCAGTTCATTCATTTAAGATCAACTCAACTCATTTCAGTTCAGTTCAATTCGATTCAATTCCGTTCTGTGCCAACTCACTATAATCCAACTGAGTTCCTTTCAATTCCACTCGGTCCAGCTAAATATAATCCAAGGAAATTAAGTTAATTTTGTACAGCTCAGTTCAGTTCAATCCAATTCGATTTGATCCGATTCGGTTCAACTCCATCATGCTCAATCTACTTCAATTCATTTCGGGTTCAGTTCAACTAGATTCCAGTTCATTTAACTAATTCCGGTTCCTTCTATTCAACTCTGTTGACTGCAGTTTCATTTCATCAGTTTTCGTTCATTTTGACCCAGATGTCTTTCATTGCACACCTACTGCCTATCACATATAGCTCTGGCCAGTGGGGGCCATGGAGCTAATAAAATGCAGGTCTTGCCTTCAGGGAGTTGGAAGCAGCCAGCCCAGGACCTGGCAGGAGGATGCTCAAGTGAAGTTTGCTGGGACAAAGATGGGGCAAGTGAGCAACCTGAGGCAGCTGGGAGAGATGAGGGCCACGGAGGGCAGGGAAGTGGGGTGCTGAGGCTGGACGCAGCTCCCATTCCAGGTGTGCGCTATGGACAGCCAGCAACCAGCGAGGGGGTGGAAGTGCCCTCAAGCAGTGGTGGCCCCTTGGTGACAGTGTCTGCGCCCCTGCACCAAGTGTCCCCCACGGGCCTGGAGCCCAGTCACAGCCTGTTGAGCACCGAAGCCAAGCTGGTGAGTGTCCCCACACCCCGCAGGTGGGGAAGACCCGTCCAACCCCATCTCCTACCCTCCCTTGGCTGGGAGATTCCGGAGTGGTCCCCAGGGACACTATGGGGCCCCCACCCAGACTCAGCTTGGTTTCCCCTCCAAGGTCTCAGCAACTGGGGGCCCTCTGCCCCCTGTCAGCACCCTGACAGCACTGCACAGCTTGGAGCAGACCTCCCCAGGCCTCAACCAACAGCCCCAGAATCTCATCATGGCGTCGCTTCCCGGGGTCATGGCCATTGGGCCTGGTGAGCCTGCCTCCCTGGGCCCCACGTTCACCAACACAGGTGCCTCCACCCTCGTTATTGGTAAGTTGGTGGGCATGGGGCAGGGGCACTTGGGTGGGAGGGCTCATGGGGCTCCCACAGAATCCAGAAGCTGGAGGAGCCACTGGAACTCATTCATTCATTTGTAGACTTAACTGAGTGCGTGCACTATGCTACCTCAGTGATACACAAGTGAACCAAGCAGACCAAAATCTCAACGACTCCACTGGGGAGGTAGACAGCAAACACAATATAGACATTATATAGTGTCCTGGAAGGCAAAATGTCTATGGGAAAACTGAGCAGGAGAAGGGACATCAAAATCTTGTAGGTTTTTGTTTTTTTTTATCCTATTTTTTTTTAAGCCCAGAAAGACTTTATTTGCAGGAACCATCATGCAGGGGCTGAATACGTAAGACAGATAGGGAGCTACTGGGAGAGGGGTTAGAGGCTCAGAGAGGGGGAGTGACTTGCCAAGACCATGTAAGTTAGAGACAGGTCCTAGTGCAAAGGTGTCTCCTGGTCGCCTCTCCCCTTCCTCCCCCCCACTGGCTCTGGGACGGAGGGACAGTGCCCCGGGATCAGTGCTGGGCCAGGTGGTAGGAAGCCGGACTGACTCCTGTTCCCCCCTCTCCAGGCCTGGCCTCCACTCAGGCACAGAGTGTGCCCGTCATCAACAGCATGGGCAGCAGCCTGACCACCCTGCAGCCAGTCCAGTTCTCCCAGCCGCTGCACCCGTCCTACCAGCAGCCACTCATGCCTCCCATGCAGAGCCATGTGGCCCAGAGCCCCTTCATGGCCACCATGGCCCAGCTGCAGAGCCCCCACGGTGAGCACCCCTAGCCCCATGCTGGGGGAGGGGGTGGGAGAGGCTGGGTGTCCACGAGCAGATGGGGCGGTCTGCAGGGGCTCAGATGCGTGTCTGCGGGCGTGAATGTGTGTGGCCGTGTGCGCACACGAGTTTCTGTGAGTGGATGTGCATGTGGGTGTTCATCGGTGTTTGCAGGTGCACACCCACGTGTGGGAGGAACGTCATAGGCCTTCCTCTGAAATGCGTGGGGCCATGTGTATCTCAGACTCAACTACTTCTCTGACTTGAGAAAAAGGTGATACGGGGTATCGACAGTCTACTCTAGCACACTCCCGGCAGGGCTCGGGGCAGCATCCTGTCATCTAAGCCCTGGGATTTCTGCAGCAGAAGGGAGAATGCCATGGAGTGGGTTAATAGACTTCCATAACCTCATAACAGGTTCTGGTCAGTTTGCCACCAAATGAGCTCCACTGCTGACTTTATGCAAATCTGTTGGTTTTTAGACCTTTTTGGAATTTGGAATTGGGGGTAAGGGCCTGTGGGCCTGTGGATCTGTGTGGGTTTGCTTGAGGGCCCGTACTTGTGTGCGAACTGTTTTATCTGAAGTCGATGTGAGAATATGTGGTTTATGTGCTTTTCTGCTGGTGCCTGTGTGTGCTGTGGGGCTGGGCTGTAGGTGAAACTCTGGGTTACATTTCAGAGAGGCGTCCTGGAGGGGGAGCTCTGCTGCCCCCCCCCCCCCCCCCCGCAGCCTGTACTTAGTGTGGCAGCGCTGTCTTCCACTGCCCTTCGCACTGGTCATCCCCGGGCAGCGGGTGTGGGTTCCTGGGCCTCCCCAGCCTTCCCTCCACCAAGCCAGCCTGAGCAGGCTCTTGTAGTTGGGGCGAGGGTCTAGCCCCTCTATCTGGAGTGCCCAGTTTTGGAAATCTGTCCTGAGTCCTCAACCACTGCTCCATCGGGCCATTTACCAGGCCCCATGCCCCACTTCCCCTGGAGCTCCCAGCTTTGAGGCCCCCTTGGGAGGGGTCTGGCCTGGCCCAGGGTGCCATGTCTTTATACCCCTCTCTCTCCTGGCCAGCCCTCTATAGCCACAAGCCTGAAGTGGCCCAGTACACCCACACGGGCCTGCTTCCGCAGACCATGCTCATCACCGACACCACCAACCTGAGCGCCCTGGCCAGCCTCACGCCCACCAAGCAGGTAAGGCCCAGGTCCGCCTGGCCCCTTGCTCAGGCCACTTCCCAGAGTGCACCCATGTGGGGCTCAGGAGGCTGCTCTGTTCCCCCAGGTCTTCACCTCAGACACTGAAGCCTCCAGTGAGTCCGGGCTTCATACGCCGGCGTCTCAGACCACCACCATCCACATCCCCAGCCAGGACCCTGCAGGCATCCAGCACCTGCAGCCTGCCCACCGGCTCAGCGCCAGCCCCACCGGTGAGCAGCCTTTCCCTGCTCCCTCAGCTGGGGAGGAAGGTGTGTGCAGCAAACGGGAGGGCACCCTGCGCTCCCCTGAAGTGAGCCAAGAGGGGTACGAAACCACAGGAAAATGGCCCTATCTTACGGGATTAGCTCACTGACTCGGCTGAGGAAAAAGATTAACTGCAAGAGAGAGTAGAGGGTACTAGTGAGGAGTACGCTGGGTTTGCCATGGGCCAGGAGGGGCTCACAGGCGTGTTGGTTTGGCTCAGGGCCTGGCACTGACTGAGTATGTTGCCGACATTTAAAAATTAGTTTTCACAAAGAAATCGTGGTTTCTGGCTTTTCTTGGAAAATTGGAGACTCGTGTTCCCACGTGGCAACAACAGAGTGTGGGCTCTCCAGGTCACCACGTCCCCCTTGACCAATTCGTTTCCATCCCCTGATGCCCCGAGTCTGCAATAATGAAGAGTGGGCACTTGGGAGTCGGGCTGCTGGGCTCTGAGGCTGCGGGCGATCACTTGTTATGTGCGTGACTTTGGGCGGCTGCTTCCCCCACCCTCCCAGCCCCCTCTGTGAGCCTCAGGTTCCTCCCTCCAGGCCTGGAGGCTGCGGGGACAGTTACTGAGGGCACCACAGGGCCAGGCTCCATGCTTTCTCCACCAGGTACGGGTCATCATCCCCATTTTACAAATGAGAATGCAGACACTCAAGAGCTGTGGGACTTGGCCTTGCCTCCAACAGTGACTCGGCGGCAGGGCCAGGATTTGAACCCAGGTCCAAAACCAAAGCCCATTCTCTTAGCCATCATAGTCAGTCAGGGTTCTGGTGAGACAGGAATACAGCCGGCCCCTGAGCAGCACGGGGTTTGAACGGCACGGGCCCACTTATACACCAATAGTTTTTGACACAGCACAGGGCTGTAAGTGTACCTTCTCTTCCTTACGACGCTCTCAGTAACTTTCTTTTCTCTAGCTTTGTTGTAAGAATACAGTGCATAATACCTAGAACATACAAAATGTGTGCTGTTTAGGTTACTGGTACAGCTTTGGGTCAGCAGTAGGCTGTTAGTAGTTGAGTTTTTGCGGAGTCAAAAGTTATATGCAGATTTGTGACTGTGCGGGGGTCAGTGCCCCTGGCCCCCCTGCACTGTTCAAGGGTCAACTATACGTACACCCATATTTAAGGAAACTGGCTCACATGCCCGTGGGGCTGGTAGGTCTGAAAGCTGTAGGGCAGGTCGGCAGGCTGACAACAGAGGCAGTTTTGAGGCAGGATTCCTTTTTCTCTAGGAAACCTCAGCTTTTGCTCCTAAAGCCTTCAACTGACTAGATGAGACCCACTCATGTCATCAAGAGAAATCTCCGTTACTCCCAGTCGACCAATTTTAGGTGTTAACCGTAGATACAAAACACCTCCGTGGCAACACTTAAATGTTTGCTTTGGTGCCTGTCCCACGGCCTGTCAACAACGATGCGTGCAACTAACCACACCGCCTCACCCGGGCCTCTCGAGGGTTTCCGCCAGAAAGCCCCGAGGCAGCCGCTCCCCGGGCGGCTGCAGAGCCTGGCTGCGGGGCTGATGAGACGCAAACACAGCCGTCTGGTTTTGGGGTCTTGTTATCTGTTGCAGTTCGGGGGGTGGTGAGGCCCTGTGCCCCCTGTGCCAAGTGCCCCTTGGGGTGGCCGGGCCGGCAGCCAGCTGTCTCACTTGCCCCCGCAGTGTCCTCCAGCAGCCTGGTGTTGTACCAGAGCCCCGACTCCAGCCATGGCCACGGCCACCTGCTGCCAGCCAACCACAGCGTCATCGAGACCTTCATTTCCACGCAGATGGCTTCATCCACCCAGTAACCATGGCAACCGCCTCCCAGGGGCTGGGCCCTGCCTGGAGCCTGCATGGCCTGCTTGGGGGGTGACTGGGACAGCTGAGCCTGTGAAACTTTCACTGCCACAGGACAGCAGCCTTCCCGGGAAAACTGTGCCTCGGTCCCCACGCTGCTCTGTCGGCGTCGGAAAGGGTTCCAAGGCTCTCCGACCTCAGGAGGGACCATTCCTGATGCTCAGGGTCAATTTTGTCACTTGGAATAGAAGGGAGCAGCCTTTGGACTCTGGTGCCCCCAGCCTGTGCCTGTGGAGAGCCCCGGAACCCCCAAGGGAACCGCACTTCTCAGGACACGAGGCTATATAGCCGTGACTCACTGAGCTCCGAGAGGCCCAGGGTCAACATGGCCCCATTCTGTCCCCTATGTCCTGATCAGGCCCCTCCCCCCTGCTCCCCTTCCAGCTGTAAACCCACATGGCCCATTTGTACCAACCCCTGTCTGCCAATCACATGAGATTTCCCCAAGTGGCTACTCCGTGCTGGAGCCTGGGGCTCAGAGGCCCATGCCCTGCGAGAGCTCAGGCTAGCAGTGAAGGCACACAGGGCTCTCCAGCTTCTCTTGTCCTGGGCCCTCCTTCTCCCTGGCTTCCAAGATGGCCAGTTTTCTTGGCCATTCGTCCCCCTGGGTATCATACCTTCTCATGCCAGCCTGCCATCTTGCCTCTATGGGAAAGCCCCCCTCAGGGCTAGGAAGTCATCCCTGCCCCATGGGAGCCTTGTGACTGTGCCCGGTGTTTGTCAGGATTCTGGACAACAGCGCCTCTCGCCTGTGGGGCCTTGTGGCCCCTCCCTGGTTTGGGGGAGAAGCTGCTGAGCTCAGAAGGCACCAAGGCCTGAGCAGGTGGCAGAGCTGAGGTGCCCAGAGGGAAGAGGGAAAGGTCCAGGCAGTTCACAGCCACATCCTTGGAGCCTGCGGTCCCAAGTGCCACCACGAGAGACAAGGCAGCTGTGTAAACCCAGGGCTCCACGACCTCCTCTCCCTGGGGCTGCTGCAGATCACCTGGCCTTGCAGACAACTCCCACCCTGGGACTGAGGACTGGGGCCGGGGAAGAACCAGCACCCCCTGCAGCTTGCAGCCAGCTAAGGGCGAACCTGTACATTTATTTAACTTTTAGTAAAGGAAATGAGGAACGGAGTATTGGAAATGAGTACTGGAAACTTCTTGCTTGTCCACACATTGCCCAGATGGGGTTGGGCAGACAGACGGAGGCGGAGGTGGGCCAGGGGCCTGAGGGGAGATGGGTTAGCACACACGCTCTCACGTCCCACACCTCTGTCTTTCTTGCTCTGCCAAACCTTGGAGGTAAGGCCATGAAACCAGAATTTCACCTTAACCCTGAGCTTCTCCTCTTCCCGGCAGAACACTCCTGGTGTGTGAAACCCCATTCACAAGTGCTGTGATACTTCCTGAAGTCTTGAGGCTGGGGTGCAGGAACACACCTTGGGGTGTAGGCAGGAGGACACCACCTATGTGATGTTTACTTAAACTGTCTCATCAAGATTCAGCATTGATATTGGAGGCAGCACCCCGATCACTTTGTTAAGTTTGGGGTCTCTCGACAATTTATTTTCAATAATCTGGTTGGCTCAGAGACATGATCGTGCATGGTATATTCACAAACATGGAGAAAAAAAATTCTGGAAACCTAGCGGGGGATAAAATCTCTCTCTTTTTCAGACAAGGTTATTATCAAGTCTGTGCGGCCTGGAGACAAAAGTACAAAACTCTTTCTGGGCCGACTCCTTCCCTCAGTTCCTTAAGGATGTCTCCCACACCAGGTCGAGAAGGTGGAGGGGAAGGAAAAGCTCTCCCTTCACTTGCTCTCCTCTGTCCCGGGAAGACAGAAGCTTTACCACTTGACCAATAGTCTTGAATAACTGGATGGCTCCTTTCTCCTGAGGCCATGGAAGGTGCCGGTACCACAGGTCTGCGCCAGCCCCCAGTGGGAGCCCGGACGGGCAGGCCCTGATTAGTCTTCTCATCCTACAGCTGTCTTTGTCCCGACCCCTGGGCAAGCCCCAATCGCGGGCCAAGTACGGACTTGCCAGCCAAGTCCTTGAACTTGGAGAGGGAGGTGGGGCTTGGAAATGCCTTGTCCCTGACGGGCACCTTGTCCTCAGGGCTAGCTAAGCCTTGTGCCCGTGGGCAGGGATCAGTTTGCAGGCATGGCCACTGCGCTCTTTGTCGGTGGGAATGGGGAAGCCTCACTGGCCTTCTTGGCCTTTTTCTTCCTTCTCTTCTTTTTGGTCCCAAGTGATGTCTGGTCTCCATTGAGCTTGGGTGACTGCTTTTCCGGCTTCCCAACCGCGGTCCCACTTGTGGTGGTGGAGGCGACCAAGTCGGCGCTGGCCTCCTTCTTGGCTTTCTTTTTCAACTTCTTTTTCTTCTTCTTTGCCTCTCCGTCCACTCTGATAGGGCTGTGGATGGCAGAGTCCTGGAGGATGTCGGAGGCCGACACCGCTGCCTCCCGGAACCGCTGCCACTCCTCCTCGCTGTCCTCACTGCTGCAAGGGGAGGGCACCGAGTGGCCATGGGGCCTGGAGCCGCCTCTCACCACCCTCGGTCTCAGCCATAGGGAAGAGCTCACAGTGAGAGGTGGCTAGAGGGCTCTGGCTTGGGAGTGAGGCCGGCCAGGTTCCAACCCCGGCTTCTCTGCTTCCCAGCTGTGTGACCTCATTAAGTGACTCCACCTCTCTGACCCTCAGTGTCTTCGTCTACGAAATGGGGATCTTAACAGAGCCCAGGCCTCACAGGGATGCCCCAGGAGTGAGGTATCTGGCACAAGAGGGTGCTCAAGAAGCAGTAAAAATCCCAAAGCCAATGCCCAACAGAACCTTTTCTCTCTCCCACCGAGGGCACCATTTCTCGAGCTACCTGACAGGGCTCCTCCTTGGCCTGGATCTGATCAGATTCTGCTCGGCTATTCCAGGGGACTGGCAAATACAGACAAAGGGCTAAAAAAGGAGGGAATGGGAGGACACGGTGTGAGACCTCACCTGGAGCTCGGAGGTAATCGCTTTCGGCCAGGCTGGGGAGCAGCGTTCTTCTCCGAGCCTCCAGGGACGGAAGTGAAGAAGAGGCGGAAGCCTGAAATCCAAAGGACCGGAGTAAGCACTGCCAGGGGCCGGCCCCTCCTCCCAGGCGCCAAGGCGGCCCTGCCCCTGCCCTCAAGGAGCTCCACGTAGAGGGGAAGACCCAGGAATCACTAGTGGTTGGCTGACTACAAAAAGATGCCTTTTGTGTCGAGAGGCATGCGTGATGCCTGCCGGAGCCAGGGGATGGGGTGCCTGAGGGGACGCCAGCTGCCCCATCAGGGCAGCAAGCCCTAAGAGGAACCAGGAGCCAGCAGGTGAACCTTCTGCGTCAGGCAGCTTCCACAGTGGCAAGTGGGCTGGGCACGGGACAGGCTCCCCTGGGAGCGGCCGGGGAGTGCGGCCCCCCTCCGGCTCCCACACACAAAGGTACTTCAGGCGAGAGACTTCCTTTCTCAGAGCCTCAGCTTCCCCTATGGCTCCCCCTGTGAACGGGGGTATCATCATCATCATGCCTGCCTCACAGAGGGCTGTGTGGATCAGAGTGCACCGAAGCGCCGTCTGCTGCCCCGGACACACAGCAGGTGTGTCATGAAACAGCACATGGCATTAACATAATAGTATGACCGCTCACCATCATCCTCTGCGGGAACTTTCTGTACCTCGGCCTTTGCCGGCTCCTTCACAACTTCTGAGATGGTAATTGAGCTACGGAAGGAGGAAATGGTTGATTTAGGATGAGATTTTGGGGTAACAAGAAAAAAATTAAAACTTTTTATTTTTTTAAGTGGAGGGGACAGGGGCAATGTGCTCTTAAATGCTCCAGCAGCAAGCACACTGGCCCGATTAAGGATAGTAACACCTATAGCCACAACATGCTGAACAGCCCCTGTTGGTGCAAATGGCAACACTTCCTCTGTTCGAACCCCACTTTATTCCAGAAAGAGTTGAAGAAGTTTTAAAGATACCCACAGTACAACAAAATGAATGGATGGGGCGCCTGGGTGGCTCAGTTGTTAAGCGTCTGCCTTTGGCTCAGGTCATGTTCCTGGGGTCCTGGGATCGAGCCCCGCATTGGGCTCCCTGCTCCGCGGGAAGCCTGCTTCTCCCTCTCCCATGCCCCCTGCTTGTGTTCCCTCTCTCTTGTATTTCTGTCAAATAAATAAATAAATAAATAAAATCTTAAAAAAAAAAATGAATGCAATTTAAAATAGAACAAAGAGAAAATAGGCTAGGAGGGACAGAAATTGCTGGAGAGAGGGCGCATGGTTTGCTTTGAGTGTCCTCGCAGCAAGCGTGAAAAGGGAACTAAGACCAATCTGGAGAACTGGTTCAGAGGTCAGCTTCTACAGCAGGGCAGACCTATTTTTTGTTTCTTTTCTTAATTTTTATTTTTATTTTTTTAAAATCTGAGATAATTATGGGTTGACATGCAGCTGTAAGAAATAAAACAGAGATCCCATATACCCTTCCCTTTCCACCCTATGGTAACATGTGCATAACTAGAGTCCAGGATCACAACCAGGAAACAGACATTGATATAACCCACTGACTTTATTTACACTTCAGAGACCTGGCTTTGAATCCTGGCTTCGTCACTTCCTTGCGGTGTCCCCTTTGGCAAGAGACTTCATCTCTCTGAGCCTCTGTTACTCACCTGCACACTGAGAATAGTAGCCCTATGTTTTAGAGTTGTTATGGGATGAAATGACATAGTGGATATCAAGCACTTACTTAGCATAGAGCCTGGCCACAAGGAGATGCTCAGTAAATGGCAGCTATGATGATGATCAAGCTGAGCAGCGAGAAGTACTGAGGTCAGGAAGCACTTCTCTGGTGAATGCTGATGAAGTCACCATGCACTGCAAAGAACAACGCTCTCACAATGTCCTGGCAGCAAACACAGCCACGCCCTGGGTGCGTTGTCCTAACTGCCTTCCCTATATGCCAAAGGCATCCCCAAGAGCGCTGTGCAGGAAAGCAGGGAAAGGACACAGAGCAACTACTGCCCAGGTGCCTAACTCCAACCTGAGTATCTGACACAGTGGTTCAATGTTGGTCTGCAGGGGACATCAGGCAACGTCTGGAGACATTTTTGGTTGTCACGACTCGTGGTGGCGGCGGTTTGGGGGGCAGGGATCACTATTAGGATGTCGTGGGTAGAGGCCGGGGATGCTCACTGTTCTACAATGCACAGGGTGGCTCCCCACAAGCAAGAAAGATCCAGTCCAAAATGTCAGGAGTGCCAAAGCTGAGAAACCTTGATCTAACACAAGGAACCAACTAGAGTATCATTTAAGTCTCTTTTCAGAGAAACACAGAAACACCACGGGGAATATGCTGACCGTGGTTGACCTGTATCCTGCGGGGTTTCCACCTGGGGAAATGTCCAGTGTGGATCACTGCAATGCCGCCAGGCCTTGTTCACCCTGGAGCCAAAGGGTCATGAAGACAAACCGCTCCCACGTGTTGAATCACCACTAGATACTTCCTACGCATGTTTACCACATTCGCGAGCTGGGGGACTGGTGCTGAGGCTGTGACGGCTCAGGCTGCGAAGGTCTGGCCCAACATTCTGTCTCAGAGTGCAGCTGGCTTATACTTGGGGAGGACACGTTTGTCTTTTTGATAAATTGAAGGACTACGGCCTGAACATCTTCATCTCCCTTTCAAAAGCTGGTGGGGCTCTGCCAATCAGGAATGCATCTAGACCAGCATATCCTGAAATGTGTTCCAGGCTACACGGATCAGTCTTCCCTGAAATAAAGCCACTGTGGCCAAATGAGTTTGGAAACTGCCGGGCCAAGCAAAACCACACAGGTCTCTTGACTGTAGGATTCTCAAAGCCTTGAATATACTGTTATGAATCTAAGTCTCCAAGGACACAAGGGGGTATATAGATTGCAGTGTTTCCCAACTTCTTTGCTGTTGGACCCCTTCTTTTGAGAGCCATGCTTTGGACTTGGCGCCTACTTGAGGAATGCTGACCGGGATCTGTACCAATTATATTCTCAAATGCAAGAAAGAGAACCAGTAAGGCACAGCGCATAAAGAAAGTACCCCCAAAATAGTAGTTTTGGCTGTCTCTAGCCCTCTTGTGGTGGGAATGAGCTCTTGCTTCTTGGGTTCCTCTTATTTTCTTGGTAGCAGGATAATGCAGTAGTTATTTATTTTTTTTTAAAGATTTTATTTATTTATTCGACAGAGAGAGAGAGACAGCGAGAGAGGGAACACAAGCAGGGGGAGTGGGAGAGGGAGAAGCAGGCTTCCTGCGGAGCGGGGAGCCCGATGTGGGGCTCGATCCCAGGACCCTGGGATCATGACCTGAGCTGAAGGCAGACGCTTAACGACTGAGCCACCCAG